TAATGGTTGTTTATGTACTAGTTGTTGTTGTTGTTTGTTTTCATTGTTTATGTTGTTGTTTTTGTCGCTCTCAGGTATGACCCCCGCTTCAACACCTGGCTGCACCTGGCCAGCATGCGTCAGCGTCGGACCCACTTCTCTCTGTGTGCMAGCGGGGGCCGGCTGTTTGCCATCGGGGGTCGTAACGTGGAGGGTCTCCTGGCGACGGCTGAGAGCTACCTGCCCTCCTCCAACACCTGGCTGATGCGTGCCCCCATGGAAGCCCCCCGCTGCTGCCACTCCAGCGCCACCCTGCCCTCCGGAGACCTCCTGGTGACCGGGGGCTACACCAACTGCGCCTACACGCGCTCCGTGGCCCGCTACAGCGTGGARGCCGACTCCTGGACCGAGCAGACCCCCATGGAGACCCCCCGCGGCTGGCACTGCTCCGCYACCCTGGGTGGGCGGGTCTACGTGGTGGGGGGCAGCCAGCTGGGGCCGGGGTCGGAGCGGGTGGACGTCCTGTCGGTGGAGGTGTTCTCCCCGGAGAGCGGGTCGTGGAGCCGGGCCRCCCCCCTCCCCCTCGGGGTGAGCACGGCCGGCCTGTCCCCCATGAACGACCGGCTGTTCCTGCTGGGGGGCTGGAACGAGGCAGAGAAACGCTACAAGGCCGCCGTGCAGACCTACGACCCCGCCACGGACAGCTGGTCCAGAGCCGAGGACCTCCCGGAGCCCACGGTGGGGGTCTCCTGCTGCAGCCTGACCCTGCCCCCCCGCCACACATCGCGCCGCCAGCAGCACCGCAACACGCCGGGCCACGAAGAACCACAGCAGCCCGGTAAGAACCAGAGCAGCGAGGCCCCCCCACTGACCACCAGGGCCTGAGGAGACCCGGGACAAGAAAAACAAGATTTTTATCMAAATAAAAGATGTGATAAACGACACGAGGACAGACTAAAATATTTACTTTTTCTAAATTTAATCATATTTTAGTTTTAAAAGATTTAAAGGTTTTATTCACACACATTAAGGGATCAAAGACGAGCAGCAAAACCTTTTATCTGACCTGAAATCAAACTAAATTATCTTATTTTGATTGTAAAGATGTAAATTGAGAAGATCCAGTCTGTCCTCCAGTCAGGATCAAAGCTGATCCGGTCTGCAGGAAGGAAAGAGGCAGCTGAAGGTTTTAAAGCGACTGACAGGAAGTAACGATGGATCTGATGAGAAGATGAAGGCAGCAGAAAGCTTCAGGTTGTGGAGGAGGGGGCGCAGACACACAGATGGAGACRAACGAGACGACAAACCAGCCTGTTTGGACTTTTTGTGACAAAATGTGAGGAAAACTGTTCCAATTTAAAAACATAAATATGTCCGTGTCCAATTCAACAGTTTTAAATATTTCTGCTAATGAAACTAAACTAAAACTGTAACAGAGACTCCAGCAGGTGAAAAGATGAAGCTGATGTGGCTCATATGGTTGAATAAATCTGTATTTGACTCAACTTTAAATTAGTTTCACTGAATAAAAACTATTTGATCAAAACGTCCTGTTCTCCTGTTTTTATTTCTTAATAAGTAACAGATTCATTAAGTTATAAAATGTGCAAGATGTTAATAAAAAGCAGCAGCTCGGTGCTGCCCCCGTGTGGTCAGAGAGCTGAACAGCAACAGATCATCGCTTCCTCATAAATAAACCAGAGCACCACAAGTCTTTTTTAAATTATTTAAACTAAAAACCCTATAAAATATTAAACAGCTCTTTAGGAAATAATCAGTTTAACTTTTCCCTTTTTTTTATATTTCTATGAAATTTTGTCTTTCTTTAAAACAGACAACTGGTTAAATGTAGCCGAAAGACTCAGATTAGTTTCTGCCAGATTTTAGACATTTCAAGATCTTTAAGAAAACCGTTCGGACCATGCCTGGAGTTCTGAGCACCGTATCAGATCTAGTTTGGAGAGGCTTTGGGACCAGAGAAAGAAAATGTTCTGAATTTTAAAAATGAATTGTTTTTCAGTCGACTAAAACAGGAYGTCCTGCTTGAGTTGGGTTAGGCACAGAAAGAACTCATCAATGTGTGAATTGAACCTGTAAAGGACAAACATTACAAAGCATGTATAAAAAGTTTACTAACCAAAAGACCAGTGTGGTCTGTCCCAGAGAGGACATCAGGGGACCTGAGACAAAAACAAGTCCTGAAATCCAGAACTCCACGAGGCACCAGACTGTTACAGGACAGGTGGTCCAAACAGGACCACCAGAGCTTTGTTCCTCACCGAGGCTGAAGATCATTTTTACTGTTGGATGATTAAAAACAACCACCAGACACCAGCGTTTTCTTTTTTCTCTTTTATTCCTTTGTTACAAAGATGAAGAGGAGCTTCTTTACTTCCCGGGGAGGATGATACCGTCGTACTGAAACAGAGCAGAGGTCAAAGGTCAAACATGTTCCAGTGAAATATTACAAATCAAACAGAACTAATCTGATTTTTAACAGCAGAAAAACTGATTATGATCGAAACAAAGATCAGATTCATTGTTTGTTAAATTTACACTCATATTTTAAATTCTAGATCCCCCAGTTTCCACAAAACTTCTAAGATTGTCCCTGACAGGTTAGAGCTGATTTAATGAGTTTAAAGTTGATTTAATGAACTTAAAGTTGATTTAACGAACTTAAAGTTGATTTAATGAGCCTAAAGTTGATTTAACAAGCCTAAAGTTGATTTAACGAACTTAAAGTTGATTTAATGAACTTAAAGTTGATTTAA